GTGTCTAATCACGTGACAGGCTGTATACGTTAAGTTATAATGATAGAATAACTGTGTGGGTCACATGACCTGGGTTAAGCCATGAGTCATGATGTGAGATGACACTACACCACGTGAGATGAGAGCACTCCATGTGGCAGTATGTGAGGTGATGAGGCAGCACGTGAGATGAGTCACACCACGTGGTATGATTTATCCCCTGGTGCAAGCAATGTGACTTTGAAATTCCACTATCATCTTGCAACAGGTTGTTTCACCCCAATACATACAGCTTGTCACGTGATTAGTCACATGATGCTTCATCTGGGTAAAGACTGCTAAATTCAGAATCTGGGTCTTGTTACAGCTGTACTCTCACTCTACGTCAGCCTCATATATTGAATAACACTCCTACATTACATGCAATTTTTCAGACATGGAATTGCTTGCTCAAAGTGACCACCACACAATCAGCATTAATCAAATGATTCTTTGTGAATTGCCCCGGGGAAGTCAGTAGTCACCCTCACCCTCCGCCCCTCCGGGGCGGAGGGTGACATTACAAAATAAGATAACCACATATGAAACTACATGGTTAAGGGTTACTGAAAAAGTGTTTGTATCCCTTGTGACACTTCTTACACGTTGGATTTTCCCTATTACAAAATCCCCAATGAAAGATGATAATGACTGTTCAAAGTGTTTACCACCCAACCATAGTGATCAAATGATTCTTTGTCATTTACCATGGCGGAGTCAGTACAAGCAGAATACCCGTTCGATTGGATACACATGTCCACACTACTAGTCGATTTGATCATACTTTTAATCCCTGTGACTGAAGAATTCATATCACAGCTAGCTAGCATACATGATGAGATGATGAAATGCTATGAAAAGAACCAACTTCCGATAAATATGACGCCAGAGGATGAAAAGAAGTTTAAGAGTGCGACAATCTGTCACAGAAAATTGAACTGGGAATCTGAAAAAAATTACCCAGTTCGAGATCATGACTACTTGAAGAAAGAGAATAACTTTAGAGGTGCAGCATGCAATTCCTGCAACATAAACTATTTCGATAAAGGTTGCAGCATTTGTGCTTAAGCTAAAAGGATATGATCTCAACCTCTTCCTACTAGATTTGACAAAACGAGTCGAGAGATTGGACGTGCTCCCTGAGACGCTTGAAAAGTTCAAAGCTGTTTTTACTGACAACTTTATTTTCTTGGACAGCTTTGCATTTCTTTCTACTTCCCTTGGTAGGTTGGTATCAAATATTAAAAAAGTCAGGTATCGAAAAGTTCAAGCAATTAAAAGAAGAGTTCCCAGAAAACTACAAACTGCTGTCAGAAAAAAGGTGTCTATTTCTATGATTATGCTTCATCTTTCTCAGTTTCCATCGTGGTTTAAATATATATGAGGGGTGTAAGAGGCAGACTCATGTTACACTGGTGTGTCATATGGTGGGACATGGTACTTTAACCTAATCCTGCTCGTTTTGCATTACACAAATGTAATCACGTGACTAGATACAGTCAAAGCAGATCTGAAGGGTTAAAGCAGTCTTAATCTCATTCTAATAATTGATGTAATCACGTGACTAGATAAAATTAAAACACATTTGAAGGGTAAAAGCAGCATTATATAACATTCTATTAATTGATGCAATCATGTGGCTAGATAGGGGTTACAGCACGTCTGAAGGGTTAAAGCAGTCTTATATCACATTCAAATATTTGATGTAATCACGTGTCAAGCTGAATGTGTTTGCACTGAAACAAGATCCAGGCACATTGACGATAAGACTAGAATTATTCCATATTAGGACATGTCTGGCATCATGTGACTAATCACGTGACAGGCTGTATACGTTAAGGTATAATGATAGGATAACTGTGTGGGTCACATGACCTGGGTCAAGCCATGAGTCATGATGTGAGATGACACTACACCACGTGAGATGAGACCACTCCATGTGGCAGTGTGTGAGGTGATGAGACAGCACGTGAGATGAGTCACACCACGTGGTATGATTTATCCCCCTGGTGCAAGCAAGGGAGCAGTAACCACGTGAGATGAGATCACATCACGTGACAGTATGTGAGGTGATGACATACCACGTGAGATGAACCACGTCACACCACGTGAGATGATGTCACATCATGTGACAGGATTTGAGGATGCATTGCACCACGTTACACCACGTGAGATGACGTCACACCACTTCAAGCCGTGTGGGATGACGTCACGGATGGCATGCCGGCCGGAAGCGGTAGTTCAACCTCCTGGGAGCCATCTTCTTGCTTATACACACCCCTATTATTCTACTACAATAATATAACTCTGAATGTTAACAAGTTTTTTAAAAGACTGTAGAAGAAGATATCATGCCTCATTCGTTGGAGTTCTCAGACCCGTCGACACTCTACTGCACAATTTCTAAGAAGAGGGTTGACTTCCTCAAAATGGGAAACAGGAGAAAAAGCTACAGACCATCAAGGCAGAATTAAAAGAATCATTTACCTAATACTTTTTAACAGTCACAGAGTTTTATAATAAATGAAATCGGTCGATCGCTTTTCCCATTCATTCACGGCTTACGTATTGTAATATAATAAAGCTTATTGAATGGGAAAAGCGAGCGACCGATTTCATTCTCGGTATCAATTTGCATTTGCGGACGGTTCCTCAAATTAATATCATTTTCTTTTGTTTGGAAAAGAGAGACACTGGCAGCGGTTCACTCTACCCATGATTATGGGTTTTGGTCAAATATTCACAATACTATTTACCCCCTTTACTATTTACCCCCCTTTACTATTTACCCCCTTTATTATTTACCCCCTTTATTATTTACCCCCTTTATTATGTACCCCCTTTACTTTTATACCCCCTTTACTATTATACCCCCTTTACTATTATACCCCCTTTACTATTATACCCCTTTATTTTTTTTGCCACGACAGTTTAATGTCATTATATATGAATTTAATTCCAATTTGAATGAGTATTAAGTGGTATATTCAGTCAGTGATCGACCGATATGCTTACCTAAACACAAGGAAATGTTTTTAAAAGAAAAATTTCGAAATCGTTGAAACTTCCTCCTTATTAATGAAGATATCAGTTTATATTTCAAATTTATAAAGTACCCTGACATTATAATCAAAAATTGTAATAGATTAAGAATAACTATCCGAAGGCAGCTGTACTCGGCAATAAAGATTCAATAAACTTCAGCTAATTCAATAAGTAATAAATACCACCCTTACCCCGAAATACTAGGTATCGACCCGAACGCAACCCAAAGAGATTTTTACAGCATCTGATTGATGTAATCAATCGAAACTTATTACAATTCGTAAGCAGTGAATGTATGGGAAAAGCGAGCGAACGATTTCATTCTCGGTATCATTTTGCATTTGAGAACGGTCAATCAAATTAATATCATTTCCTTTTGTTTGGGAAAGAGAGACACTGGCAGCGGTCCACTCTACCCATGATTATGGGTTTTGGTCAAATATATATACAGGGTGGGCCAAAAGTCAGTGTGCAAACGTTGGGTCTTATACCTCCGCCGTGTTTTCTATTTGAGGGTTGTTGCTTTGCAGATGGTTTACTGTACCTACTGGTTCGAGGATTCCGTCACCAAATTTTGAAAATTCGAATATTTTAGACCACGCCCATTCAATATTAAAACACTTATATTGTTCTCCCCGAACATGCTAGATGTCTAATTTTTTTAGAAACGGTAGATTATTAAATGTTGCATATGATCTGAAAACATGAGGCAAAACGGATTAGAAATGACAAAGTTATCAAGCATTTTCTGTCTCTCGTTAACAAAATTGACTGGGTGATTATGTGACACCGTGACACGACACCTTAATTGGGCACCCTTAACAATCCCCATAATATTTAACGGGGTTACCTTATCACGTGATTAGGTAAACCAATCACCTGATCACACGTAATGAATTAACTCGTTATGCTTCATATCTCGGTCATCTGAGAAGCTACAGTTCTAATTCTTTCAGGACAAACGTAATTCGAATGGCCAAACACAATTCAATAACGTTTAGCTTGATCCTACTATCCAAACTATCAAATAAATGCAAAAATGAACCTTCATTTGAAAAAAATGAACGCGAATATTTTTCGAGTTGACAAATTCCTCGAACCAGTGGTGATACTAAGTCATACCAGAAAGAAATATTTAAATTGGGCACTCAGTGACTGAGCTATAAAGGCCAACGTATGGGTACTGACTTTTGGCCCACCCTGTATATATATCCATAGACACAGTGTTTCGTCCTATTAGGACTCATCAGTATGGCTCAAATCATCAAGGTTGGTTTTGCCGATGGCGGGTATCGATCCAGCTCAAGGTTGGTTTTGCCGATGGCGGGTATATATATACTTCACGACAATCTGTTGTAAAACAGGGGTTCCAGAAAACCTACTTCCCGATACTCCTGAAACATAAAATTTTTTACATTCGATTTGGACAAACTGCAAAGTTTCAGATCTCTAACTCAATTTTAACATGGTTTTTAAGGCACCTGAATATGGCGATTTTGGGATTTTTACCTAATTTTGTATAACATGCTGGCGCGTATTTTGCGCAAATTTCTTAAAAACCTCCACATAACTATTTCTTATTCCTGTCATCTTTAACATTGAATTAAAATGTTTTTTACTTAAATATACCTGCTGAACTACTTTCGATGAATATTAATGCCTGGAAAACAATAAAGGGGATATAATAGTATAGGGGGTAAATATTGTAGGTTTATAACCTACCAGGACGCGCGCCGAGTTGGACTCGTCGACGGTCCTGGAATATGGAACAGATATTTTACGAGTATCACCCGTTAAGGGTAAATAGTATTGTGAATATAACGGCAACGGTAATGCTTGCCAGCATTGTGATAAACAATTGAACGCATATTCATGGTGGTAATAAGGGATAGTCAATCCACTTTCAAAGGTAATGACATCCTGTTCTCTGACTGCAGGTGGCACAACTACATCTCCATTGGGGGGCTCAGGATAGTGACGGATCTGAGAACTGGCTGGACGGGAAACAGTTCTCTGCTGAGGCGCATCTTGTTACTTCTTACGGAGACGGATCAAAATACGCTGTTATCAACCGTTTCTTCAAAGTCGTAAGTTACATGCTACCAACGTTATGCTAGCAGCTGGAAGTGGACCACAAATGCCACTTATCGTCGATTGAATATCTGCTGTTGAGTTTTAGTAGGGAGTTGATATAAAAGATTAAATTTAGCTGTAAATTCCTTATCCTATGTTAAATAAATCTTCAGGGTGCAGAGAATGCTCAGATCGCTAAAATGATCGCTTCAGCTGAAGCAGAGGGTGAAAATAGAGACAGTAAGTTTCGCCAATCAAATTTATTATAAAATTCAATAAGTATTGTCAGAATTGGTCATCATCACTGATTTTCTGAAGACGGTCGAAGGAAATCCACTAACTTAACGTTTTTACAGTTGCGGATTTCGACTTGAGTGCCCTCTTTCCAAGTGACATCAAGGAGGTCATAACGTATGAAGGTGGATTGACTACCCCTGAGTGTGACGAAGTTGTTCACTGGATTGTCGTTCCCGAACCTCTCACAATATCAACCGCACAGGTATGACATTTGGAACAAAATATGACAAAAACAACAATTCGTCTGATTCAACATAATATAGCATTATGATTTAATACCATAGGAAAAATACGCATTATCCTTTCAGTTGGCTAAATTGAGGGTAGTTAAACTCGGTGACGGGACTGGAGACGCCAAGACTTTCAACTGGAGGAACAAACAAGATTTAAATGAACGAACCTTCAAGCACTATAAAATGAAGACCTCAGCCTCCGCCGCTACTGTTATCTCACCTCTGCTTGCTCTTCTGGCACTCATTGTTAATGTGTTATGCTAAACTGTATGATAATTACAGAGATGATTCTATTGATCCTATTTCTGTAAGAGGTTAACGGTTCAGTATTATGTGAATGTATTACTGGGCGGCGCTCAGCCTTTCATTCCGCCTAATCTCTATGTTTATGAACTTTATAGCCTGGGGTCCCCAGGTAAGTGGAGGTACTATTTTATGAAGATGCCTTTTTATGGAACCTATCATATTGATTATGAAACTTATTTAATCGGTAGAATCATGATTATTTTAATCATGATTAAGTTTGAAGTTTGAAATATTCCAAAAATACCACTAGCTAGGTGTTTACTGTTTGATTTTGTAATATATTGATACCCTCTATTACTTATCTGTATCAATTATCATTTATTGTGTTTCTGTATTGTAAAATAGCTATTGTTTTCTTTAAAATTAACCTAGGGACTAGGGTATGCAACGAAATGATATATCGATTAGATTCTTGGCGATAATTGGGTCAAAATCGTTATCGGTTTATCTCAATAATTTGGTACCGATAACCGATGAAATGTTTTTAAATTCCTCCAATTAAAACATAGAAATTTTAGATTTAATCCTTGATAATATATTACATATCTATAAAGCAAAAAAATTCTGTTTTTAAAATCATTGCATCTTGCCCTAAATCTGAGGGGTCCTTACTCCTTTGCTATTTGCATATTACGTAATCACTAAAAGAATGGAGGGGGCTTCTAAATGATCACGTTAATGTCATTTTATTTTAAACACCATAGCTAGGTGTAAAACTGATAACAGAGGTTAAAAATTGACCAAAAAGCGATTACGTAATATGGCAGTCTGCAATCATCGTATTTACAATGACATTACTATAGCTAGGCTTCCTTAAATTCGACACTCCACTGTGACTTCTTACAGCTACTGCGTTATTATAAGTAACGCTATATTTCCTCTTGTTATTTTCACTGTAAGAATTAGACTCTCTAAAAACATAGCTAGTACTATTACGTCTGTTTTGGATCACCTTGACCACGAACAGCCTGAATCTCTTAAATCTGAACAGGTACAGCATGGGGTTCACTGTACTGTTCATCATTACGCTGATCGAAACCACAAAGCTTCGCAGATTAAAACTTGGCTTTTCAAACTCAAATACATTGTACTTAAACCCACTGAAACGGTCCACGTGGGCCACAATAAAATAAGTAACAAACGGTAAATTAAATAAGATGTAAATGACGGTGAACAACACCACAGTTTTAGTGACGGCCCTTTTACTGCCAGCGTCGGTGTGTTTGTGAAGTTCAATGATAGAAATGAGACAGCTGATGAGAATGGGGAATACTGGACTTGCTAACTCGATCCACATCAATGCTGAGTAGAATCTCCCGGCATGCTCGGAGTTATTTATTGCGTCCACATCCTGAATATTTAGGGTTATCATACAACTAACAACACTGCCCCCTCATCTTGCAGTGACATTATTTCTTAGAACGACTTATATTAACTGGATTTAAATTAAACTGAGATAAAAATGATGAGGTAACTTACGTGAGTAAACCACTGACACTGAATGTGTGTGTCATAGTACTGGTACAGGGTTCCGAACCAGAAGGGAATACTACTTTGAAGGAGCTGGATGACAGCGTAACCAACCATCAGACCGACTATCATCTTCTTACTGACCGGTTTAAAGGGATACTTCAAGCTGAATGTTCTGCTGATACTGAGCACGGCTACTAGAAACACAGACATTCTCGCCAGTGCATTCCACAAGACACCCCAAATCTGGCAAAATGCCACCGATCCAAATGCTCCAGGAGCTCGGTTAGAGAGATATGATATAGATACGGGGAGTGATAGGACACATATCCCGATATCGGTGGTTGTAATGGCGATGTAGACCAGAGTGCTAAGATGCCGCGGTTTGCGGAGGAAGTAGTAAAGGGACCAGGAGTTCAGAGTAGTGCCCAGGAGAAAACAGAGCACGCAGATAAATCCGTAGAGCAGGTTTATCCAATCATTTCTGTACTGCTGTTTTTCAAAAACTGACGGATCTCCAGGGGCCATAAGAGTTGAGACTTTCCTTGTAAATAGGTTTATTTATGACAAAAGAAGCTTAAACATGGATTATGGAAATTGGAAACCATAAGATAAACTAAATGAACTTGCTAAGTGTATATTAATATTGTCTCAAAGTCGAACCAAAGTTGTATTAACGATTGTAGTAATACAAAATAGGTTGAGGTGATAAACATTTCTCAGATATTTGTGGTTTTCGCTAACTTTTATCTGATCATATGGCCGTGTATTGGTACCTTTAACCTTTTACTTTATTGATGGAAAGTGGACACAAGCGTACAATTGCAACATAAGTCGTCACAATATCCAAAATAGGGTTTAACTTTATAGATATACGGGAAACCCCACAGCTGCACTGATAAAGCTTAATATTTCCTAAGTAAGACTCAGAATTCAGACTAATAATTATAATTGATGTCGCTGATAATTAGTGATAATGACCGAGCAAAATAATTAAAACTAACGATTTGGACTGAAGATCAGACACTTGAAGCCCAGATTGAATTTTAATTATACCTGTAGGACGTAGGTGGTGACTTACCCTCGACCAGTTAAAAGAATTCCCATAATATAATTAGGAATGGTAAAAATAAACCTACCAAGTACGTGTTCTTACTGTCGGGGAAATTTCCAGTTCTTTTAGCTGCAGTCAATATTAATATAGAGCAGTCAATATGGGGCTCCAAATACTAAGAGCCAGGTGCAATGTGGAATGTAAGTATATGAGTGTCTCCACGTGTGACCAAGTGTTGATAAATGAACGCCCGAATGGATTATTAGCCTGACACAGTTAACATACAAATAGCAGCATACTGAGAGGTCTCGGGATTTGTTCTAAAGAATAGCTTCGAATCAGGCAAAATCCCCCATGAACTTCGTGGATAGTAAAGTGTTTCTGAGAGCAGTTAAGTGTTTGGACGAGAATAACAATGACAAGAACAGAAATAATGATATCCTGGGCAGATGGAGAGGTACAGAACGGCAGTTTAACAACTTCGTCAAGGAGCTGAACAGACTAGCTGCACCTTTCGGAATACAGTTTGCTGACGCCCAGATTGATATAACTGTGAACTATCTTGATGTCCAACTGTACCTAGATGAAGAAGGCCAGATCCAGTACTCACTCTATAGGAAGAAGACTGACGCTAGCGACAGTATTTGAACACTACTAGCTTCCACCCTCCCCAAGTATTTGATTCGGTGGCATTCAGCCAACTGCTTAGAGTCATCAAAAGGAACTCTCAGGAACACACCAGCCTCAAAGACTTGGAAGATCTGAAAACCGACCTTTCTAGATGTGGGCACAACGCAGACAAATTGGACGAATTGGAGCCTTTAGCAGTAGAAAGAGCCTTGAGAAATGCTAGTGCAGCACACAGAATAGCCCCTAAGAAGGAAAAGAGTACAAGTTCCTTGGTGTTCACGACAAAGTACTTCAAAGAGGTGAAAAGTCTTAAATCCGTAGTACATGACATGAAAGAGGATATAGAGAGATTGATAGGTGATGTACGAATTATCTTTGCCCTGAAGAAACACGAGGCAATTAATGACTATGTCATAAAGAATAGATCTCTTAGCCGAGGGTTTGCCCAACACCAATTTCGTACAGCATCCTCTCAATCATGTGGTGGTAAGAAATGTGGAACTTGTCCCCTATTATTTGAGAGTGGAAAGAAAGTAATGGTCAATGGAAAAGAAGTTATCCTGGACATGAGTTTGAGCTGTAGAGACAAAAATGTAATATATGTTGCCCAGTGTAGTATTTGTACAGGTAGTAATTTAGGAGAGAGCACCTAGTTTGGTCAGACAACCACTGAAGTGAGACAACGTTTTAATGGGCACAGGAGTAAATTTAAATTAGATGCTGATAAGTCTTATACTAAATCAGCTTTATCGCAGCATTGCTTTAATGAACACCCGGAATCCATGAGTCTTATTAATTTTAAAGTTGCATTTGTCAAGAAATGTCCAGCAATAGAACTTGATAGAGAAGAGCATCGATTAATTTCTATATTCAGAACTAATATTTTGGGGATTAATAGAATAAAAGTTATAAGATGATAAGTTTAGTTATTTTTGTTGTGTAATTTATTTGCCTTCCGTAATTTTTGTCAGTATTTATGTTTTATTATGATTGGTGTCCCGTTAAATTTTATTTAAATTAAAATAAATGATTTTTTTCCATACATACAAAAATTTTTTGGGATTCTTGTTATTAAGTCTGTTTTGTTTCTACCTAAATATGAGCCTAACTTATTTCTATTCAGGAGGTTCTCTCAAGATGATTTTTAATTCGAAGATTTCAAGAGCCTAAACTGTGTATGATTCGCCTCTCCAAACAAATCAAAAGAACAGAAATAAGTCAGCTGTCCAGACTGAGAACACAGCAGCAGCAACTTGTGTACAGATAAAGGGCTTTGTGTTCACGTCTTATACAGGTAGAACAGTGTGACTTTACTTGGAATCACGAGAAATGTGGGACATCTTAAAGATAAATTGACGGTTATTCCTGATAGCGGTAGAACGGAACGAATAGGGCCATTTCGTTCATTAATCGCAAATTACAGTGTGATCGTGCACGACGGCACCATAATTATGAACAATTACGATAATTAAGCAACTTATTATTGATAAAATAAAAGAAACAGTGCAGTGTGCCGACCCAAACAAATGAATTATAACAAACGTGAAGTTAAGTTCAAGAGTGGATTTCATTTCTCAAACTTGTAACTTTGTAACCTTTACAATTACAAAACTGAGAGGTCACCAAACTTGTCTGACAAGTGTAGTGGCTCCCAAAGCCACCTTCCAGCTTCATGAACGTTAGATATTGCTAACGAAAAGTGCGGCACAAGTCAATGAAATATATTCAATTCACCTCAGATCCGGTCGTGTGACCATGTAATATTATCATGAAGTAAGTCATGACGAAGTGAAAACTCGATCCTAATTGAGTTTTCGAGCGAGTTCTGGAATTAAAAAAGAATCCGGATAAGTGTGCAGCCGATAACAAGAGGGCATGTGGGAGGATTTTGATTACACATATTTGGCAAAAAGTGGAAGGGCGTTGGAAGTCATGACGTCAATTTAAGAACAATTTTAGTTCTGTTGAAATATCGCGGTAGCAGAAGTGAAAACAGGTGGCACTGCGGTATGCCAAGACTTTTTGTGCGATTTGGTTTCAGTCATTACTCCTGCATAGCGGTGGAGCAGTTTCTCACCGAAATATCTGACACGCATGACTTACCCCTGACCTGTCTCCGTCTGCCTTTACAAGTCTGTGGATGGAATGTGTGAGAGAATAAAGGAATGCTGCCCTCCAGGATCTGACTCCCTCGGTCACCAGAAGAGACAAGACGACTTGTCATAAGACACACTAGCTGGCAAAAGATTGCGATAACTTCAGAAATAGACTATATCTCATAAAATCGTACCAAGTATCATGAGGGCTGGCAACGAATGCGTTTATGAGGCTGGGAGAAGAAAATGACTGTTAAAGTTGTCGCCACAAAGTAAGCTCAGTAAATATGCCTGGCAGCACATTAGATATTATGAAACGTGAACATGTGCTAATAGGTCTGGTAAATACACCTGGTTGATATCTTGCAGTATAAATGCTGGTCCACATTTACCGTGTCTTATCATCAGGTATATTCCTAATGTTTGATAAATATAATGTTGTTCGGTATTATATGGACCTGCAAATGTTGACTATACATATACGTATATGTTTGACATAGTTAGCTGTAAAAGAGAAAAATGGTTGAAAATGGTCATTCAAGCAACAGTTTGAGCCACAGTCAACAGTAAACCAGTCAAATATTTACAGAACAGATTTTGTTTCAATTTAAAATTAAATACGGTCATCACACACAGAGTTTCATCTCAACATCTGCATAGCAAAGAGAAAGGTGTAGGCTGTCAAACCATTGTCCTCTTATTTGGCCCACCTCAAATATGGTATCGCGTGTCTCCTGAATCCATCCTCTGAGAGCAATAATTGTGGCACTTTTCTCTTCCTGTGCCAAAACACGCCATCTTCCCAGACTTCAATTATATCCATGAACCAATGTAGGTACTACAATACTAATAAAACTGCTGGAATAATTTCTGCACCGGATCATAGGGTAAAGATACAGTTAAACTGCGAAGGCACAACACCAAACCAACCCTACTCAATCTCCCAAAAACAACCTTCTCCTGGTCGGCTATGTCCCTCATCCTGCACTTGACCCCCGCAGAGGTCACAAGCCCATCGGAGCACAAATGAGCGAGAAACGGGGAAGCCTTAGCTACCGGGCCAAGGACTGCATCACTAGCAGCGAAATACGGATATACCCTCCCTTTTACACGCGTTCAACCGGCACCCGAACCACACGCTGTTTCTTAGACATAACTTCCCACTTACATCAGTGTCTTCTCGCACCAACTGGCATCGGCAAGTGGCGACACTGTGTAGACTCAACCCTGAGCTTGATCAGAATCTTCAGTCACAAACCTGACACCGTTTCGGGGCTTTCATTGCGATACGGTTTTCTGTCAGGTGCCCCAGCAGTCTCTCTTGGACCACCATCTGATCTGACAATCACCCGAGGATACCTGCTAGAGCTCGCGATTTACGACGAGTTAGCTTATGGCACCTCTGGCTGTTAGGTGAAGTCATAAAGCTCAAACAGCTCTCATCTCCCACTCTCTTTTCCTAGACAGCAGATAAATCCATCTTGAACAATGGGCTGCATCCTTCCCACAATCTCTGACCAACTTCTTGAGGGCTCTCCCAGACAGACCAATCTTCCTTGATGCACACTCCAAACTTGCTGCGACCACACCTCTAGCACCAACCTCAACAGCCAAGCTGAAACATGACCACCCATTAGCTTGTATTTCCGCTTGTAGACTGTTATACCGATCAAGCTTCAGCTCATGGGATGCAGCTATTCTCTCTTCCGACGGTACTGTAAGCTCCCACCAGATTACTCTCTTGGAAGCTTTCGAGAAAA